TTCTCTGAAGAATATCCCAAATACCAACAAAATGAATTATTTTGTGACATTAATGCCAAAAACAGAAATACTTATACGAAGGATGAGATGGAGAGCTTATTTTTTCCTTCGACGGAATAACTTATCAAACAAACCTAAAGTATAACAGTAAGAAAACAGCACCGTTTATTTAAACAGATTCGAAAGTAATTTACTCGGAATAACAAATAACATAACTTTCCATGAAAAGAAAAATTATTTCCAAAAACGTATCGATAAGATAGTGAAAGATATTAATGCAACTAATAAAATTTTACTGAAATCAGATAAAACAGGAAATTTTTATAAATTAACACCAACGACTTCAACAAGAAACTAATTTTAAAAAGATTTAAATAAGAATTATAATGGTGGAAAACAATAATATTAGTAGTAAAAACATCACAATTAAATTGAATATTAGTGATAGTGTAGGTAAACTTACCAAAAAAGAGTACTTTATGATCATAAAGGATCACGAACCCGATTTCGAAGCTAATCCAACTACTAGAATTACCAACACAACTCAACCTGAAATCGAAAGGAATTAGTAAGAAAACCATAGAAAGGGTCAACCAACAAATAAAGGATTATCTAGGATTAAAAGTTCGGATCAATAACAAAGAGTTACTAATTGGTTTATTAATATGAAGCAGAAAACAAATTGTAAACCAATACAGTTTGATATTGAGAATTACTGCCAATCAATATCAAAGGAACTTTTCACGAATGCTATGGATTTTGTTACACAAAACTTTAGCATAACAGATGTAGAGAAAAGCATAATTATGAATGCGAAAAAATCAGTACTCATTCATAATGACGAGTAATGGATTAAAAACATCTAATGACCACTTCCAAGTCACAATGGGATCATTGGACTCTAACCTTATAGGTTTTTTATATCATATAATTTTATTGCATATCGTGGAATTAAAATAAATGATACTGGATTGTACAGAGATGATAGACTTATCGTTGTAAGGTATTCTACGAACTTTATAAATGTTAAAATTAGAAAACTATTACATAGAGTATTTAAATGCCTAAACTTGAAAATTACTATACATGCTAAAAGGAAAAAAAAGTTAATTTGCTTGATATTACACTAGATTAAATGAATAATACATACTACTTTACGAAATGCCCATTACTAATGCTTTGAATATACAACATAACTCTAATCATCCTCCATCTATAATTTAGCATATTCATTCATCTATTGAAAAAAAATAAGTACAAATTCAGCAAACGAAAAAATATTCTATGAACATAGCAATTTCTATAAAGCATTACAGAATAATGACTATAAATGCCCACAACTCAATTATATAAAAAATGAAAATGGACACCATAAAAAAATACAAATAGAAAAATCATTTGGCATACACCCCCATGCAATCACATAGCAAGAAATAATTTAAAACAAAAATTATTTCATTAACTGATGAACATTTTTCTAGAGATAATGAACCTAAGATAAATTTTAATAACAATACCCTAAAATTAAGTTACAGTTGAACTGAAAACTTAGAAATGATTGTGAAGAAACGTTATGCTAATATCTTGAATAATTACTTATACCAAAATAAAAAAAAATATAGATCCTAAAATTAAGAAAGAAATCAAGATAAAGAAAAATTATATATATATATATATATATATATATGAAACAAACTGTCGCCTCTGAGTGTTGACTTTTATGTTCACTTTTATAAATAAATATATATATATATATATATATATATATATATTACGAAAAAATATAACAAATTATATATATATATATATATATATATATATATATATATATATAGTACGGAAATCTATGACAAAGTGCAGAAAGTTTTCGTGTCGTACGTATCGTACGTTAGGATGTCATCGGACTAAACTGATCTTTACTATATGTGCACAAAGGTGAGGGAAAGACACAATTTTAAATTTACGTTTTTCTTTTTTGTTATAAAAATTTCTATAAACTTTCCCCCCTCTCTCTCTCTCTCTCTCTCTCACACACACACACACACACACATATATATATATATATATATATATATATAAAAAGTAACATAGAAGTCAACACTTAGAGGCGACAGTCTGTTTCATGCTAGATGCAATCGTGGCCTGATGATTGCATCTAGCATGAAACAGACTGTCGCCTCTGAGTGTTGACTTCTATCTTCACTTTTATATTTACACACGCTCTATCTCTGATATTGAGCACTTTATCCCATAAATATAGCACATTTTAAGACTATATTTCTTCATATATATATATATATATATATAATATTTGTCTCATTGGGACTGTTGTCTTCATCTTTACTGCCATATTCATAACGTTTCAGCCCAGTAAATACAACCGTTGGTGATCTAATAAGTGACTAGCCCAAAGATTTGTTAAGTTACTAAAAGGAATTAACTGAAACTGAGATATCCAGAAAGGGCATGACACATGAAATTTGCCATTGTTAAAATGCATTATGCACCATTCAAATCTGTTCACATCCACATTTTGGTCTTTAAACAAACTATTCAACAAGCCTCGGTTTATGTGTATGGGTGCAATTTATTTTCTGGTGAGGACTATTCAATGGCACACTTCTACTTCGTAAGCACTTTCCTGTCAGATGCCCTTTTTGCCATAAAACTGAAAAAGATATGATGATATATATATATATATATATATATATATATATATGCATAAATACATATATATATATATATATATATATATATATATATATATATATATATATATATATATATATACAATGTACCGCAAAGTTACTCGTGAACAGACTATAACTGAAAAGAATGAAAACATATAACAAACACCGACGTGTAAATATGCGAGAAAAACCAAAAGTGCACAATGCCTACTTAGGGACAAAATTCTCTTAACGTCTCAAAAATTTTTGATAAAAGCTTATGAAATGTCTCAGAAGACATTGAATAATTTAGGTATAAATTCTGCCCAGGAAACAAAAAAGAAAAAAGAAAAAAAAAAACAGAACCAGAACCGTGGTAAACTAAAATGAAAAAAAAAAGAACGATGCAGTCCTTAAATAAACCAACTGAAACGAAGTACACACCCAAACACACACACACAGGCACACACACACACAGGCACACACACACACAGACACACCCACAGACACACACAGACACACACACAGACATACTCACACAGAGGCATACACACATATATGTTGTTAAATAATATGGACAAGTTTTAAGTGATTTTCAATTTTGTATATTTTGTCATATGTACTTATGAATATGTTGAACTTCTAATAAATTGTTTTTCTACCAGATCTCTAGGGTTCAGTCTACCTTACTATTTTACTCAAAACTGCAAGAGAGAAGAGAGTTATCTATGCCTTTCTGAAATATATTAATCTCTTCGATTTTGTACTTCATTAAGTACGCAGAACAATGATAAAAAATTCAGAATTTTGCACAGTAAATATTTTTAACACAATCTCGTTTTTGCTTGCATTTAATTCAGTAGTTTATATTAATGACCTTATTTGAATATTATACAGAGGACATTTCAGGTTCAAATGAGAACTCCAAGTCCGTTTGCAGAATAATTGATTCAGGCATTTTAGAAAAAAAAAACGCAATGAAAAAAGAATATAGAAAAAGATTGATCGAAAGAAAAGCCAGTGAAAATATAAACAAATTAAAAATAGACGAAGAAGTAAAGAAAGATAGAATCTTAAGAATAAGCGAGTTTCCTTCAAGCTGCTAAAATATATTCTGCACAGGTCACTTGTCAGACAAATTCGCTTTTTCAGAAGAAGAAAAACAAAAAAAAGCCAAATGCCGATGGCTTCGATTTTGCTTGTGTCGACAGTGGAATGACAAATATACTCAACCACTAGCTAAATAAAGGTTAAATGCAAGCGACCGCGCACGCACAAACACACACGCAGCTATGCACGCACACACATATACGCACGCAAAGTCATATGCAAATAAGAGTGGTTAGAAAAACGATCATTGATATGGGCATATATTTACATTTCTGAATGATCACACACACACACACATATATATATATATATATATATATATATATATATATATATATGAGTGAATGTCAAAATTGAAAAAAAAAGCCTCTTAATAATGCATTTCGTTCCAAAGAGAAACATTAGGCCAACAACGGTTTTATTGATAGAATCAGTCATTTAAAAGGATAGGAAGCTAAACGAAATAATTCAATATCGGTTACAGTTTACATTGGCACACATTAAAGTGTTATCCTCCGAGAACCTCAGGGCTACATCTAATTTCTGACATCCGATATTTCTATATGAATATCACAGCCTATGACATTGGCTATTGTTTTTATTTTCATCGCGATTGACGTAATTATTGTATTATTGTAGAAACGGATGCATTGTGAGGAAGAAATACGCTGCATAACCTAAACGTATCCTGGAAGAATCCGAAACTTTCCTATACTTTTTAACCCTATGTTATTCGTTTTTAATTAAATTCCATTGTTTAAGTCGAAATTATGATCAGATATATTATTATAAACGACTAACACATTTTTTGTAATCCTTTTTATGCATCAATTTACAGTCTATTTTATAAATACATGTTTATTTTGCAATGATTAAGTCTCTTATTGATTTTAAATATTGATAATGAATATTATATTAAGTTTCTATAAATTCTTTTCGGTCATAGCCGTTACTGAGTTATTAGGTAGAATTATGTACCAAGTTTTATCAAGGCTATTTTTTATTTTGTAGAAGTCGCATGCTTTCCTTTGTGCTTGATACATAAAATAATTAGAATATTGCAGAAATTTACAAGTTTACTTCTTACTTCCTGTTTCGGGTGATATAATAATATTATACAATGTGAAGCATACATTTGTGTGTGTAGAAACTAGTGCAAAATCAAATTCAGTATACAACCAAGAATTTCTGAAACTAACTTTGATGAACTGTGTCAACCAGTGTACTCATATCTATCTATCTATCTATCTATCTATCTATCTATCTATCTATCTATCTATCTATCTATCTATCAGTAGGTGTGGATGATATAGCCATAAATACATAATTTAATATCGATAGGTATTAAAAGACACTTCTTTTGAATATGGATTGGTAATAAATATATTCTCCATAGGTACTTTTCTATTATTGATATTTTTCAACTAAGTTAATGCATTTTAGAAAAATTAGTAAAAAACATTTCATGAAAAGTTTTTGTCCTAACTTTGGCTCTTAAATGAACTACGCTGCATATGGAAAGACATTTGTATTGATTTAAGCATTTAGTTTTGGAAATTCCGAGAACTGAAGCACAAATGAAGTACGTTGAGATAATGCGATTTATTCTTGTCGACATGTGGTCATTTGATAATCCAACTGCCAAAGGTTGACGCCTGAAAACGACCGATTTCCTACTCACGCTAGACTTACCTGATTTCTAACTTTACTTGTTTCCCGCGTTGCAGCAGTCACATGACAGTGTTGTCTGGTGACTGTCATATTATCTCATGTGTTATTCATCTCCAATCCTCTTCTTCTCTCTCTCTCTCCTTCTTTCTTTCTCTCAATTTCTACTTTATGTTATTTAATCACATCCTCTTTGACAAACGGACAAGACAAACACCAGACTGGACACATCACCATCCGTCATATTCTCAGCTTTAGCCAATCATGATTTCACCTCTAAATAAATCGTTGCTACTATGAAACGGTGTCCGTTTAAGTTATGTATCGGTCGCCGATTTCCTGTGCCTCCTGGTAAGAAAGGATTTAGAGTAAAGATTATGTCCGGTTAATGTCGCTCAACGCCAATCGGTGCCGCAAGATTAATCCATCTGATTGCAGTCTGGCCCAGTTCTCGGAATTCTACACAGATTTCCGATAGGTGCAGCTGAATAAAATGTATGACTAAGCATGTGTTACAAGCGCAGATGTCAGCAGTTTACTTCCAAACCGTTCAATATCTTACGTTAAACTTGTCACATGTATGAATTCAATCTCTCCCTTTCTCATTCACTCTCTGTTTTCTCTCTCTCTCTCTCTCACGCTCTCAGTCCCGTGGATGATTATGGTTTTCCATATCTTCCTGTATTTTGTTACTTGCAGCAATTTCTCATTCATTTGCTAAAGCTTATCGAGTAGATTTCTAGCTGTTTTCACTGATTTTTCTTGCTTTTCATTTCTTCTGTTAGTGTTAAACTCCCTAAACTTCTTTTTCCTAATATGAGTCACAATCTTATTGTTTATGAAAATTGCGTTGTACTCATAATTATTTTAAAAACTTCCTCGTTTCTCTCATAATATGTTATTTTCATCACATAATTTGTCTATAGAATGACGTTTCTTTCCATTCAAGTTGTTTCTTTATCTCTGAGGAGATTGTTCAACGGTCACTGCCAAATCGGCCATTAAATGTTACACAATACCCCAGCACATTTTTCTGTGTTTCCTGATCCCTTAATAATTTAATAAGTTTCCAAACAGAATCATTCGCTATACCAATAAAATTTCAAAATTCTGTTCTATACTTGCAGTCATGTAATACTATAAAATATTAACGATATTTTATGTGGTTAATTATTTGGCCGTAGTTCCGTGATTATATTGCCAACCTCTCTGTACGACATTCGTCGTATTCTCTCGAAAATGTATTTGGTGACTGTTCTTGTTGTTTGGTAGTTGGTTGTGTCCTTTTTGTCGTTTGTTTCCACTGCTTTCTTGGAACCAACGTACTAAAGTTGCTCCGTTTCTACATCTTACTGAAAATCAAATTAGATATCTTCTTCCCTTTATGTTAAATACTACAACGCATATAGTCTGAACTGACTGCTTTTATTGCTCTTAAAAATTTTACGTACTTGCCAGTAATGAGATGAAGTGAGTGAGATAGAATTTTGCAATTTCTTTTCTCCCTAACTTCTAACAGTTTCAGGTACGCGCGTTCGTTAAGAGGCATAGGTCTCATTTAAAATGTATGAAATATACACAAACATCTTGCTTTTCCTTAAATGATAAATCGTTATGTCCTACGAGCACCAGCCGAATTACAACATGTTCAAACCCGCTACATCTTATTTGATAAACGAAACTGTTTTCTTTATTTTCTTATGTTTTTAATTTTTATGACCGAATCGTTACTTACAAACTTATGGAAACATGATACTTAAGTTGGACCATCCCTTGACCCTGTCAGATCACCTGTTTAATTCCACTACCCGGAATAATTATTTTAAATCTCTACCATTTGCTTTCTTTTTCTTCAGTTTAGGATTTCCGCATATATATATATATATATATATATATATATATATATATATATATATATATATATACAGACTGGGTTCTATAGCCTTGGATGGCAACTGGTCTAGGAGAAGGACAACTCTGAATTCAAAACCTGCGGAGGGTCGTTTGGGAACCTTGTGGCATTCGGTGCACCAGGTCTCTGCATTCGTCCCATCAAAAATGTGGATGGTCCTGCACGAGGCCTTCACCACTATAATCAAATCTCATGTGCCGGTGTCGGGCTGTCGGTTTCCTGAAACTGATCTGTTTGACCCTCATACATCGAATCTCGACGGGAGAGTCGATTATATATATATATATATATATATATATATATATATATATAATTTAAATAAAAACATACCACTAACCTTAAAGTGGTCTGTTTTTATTTAAATTATTTGCTGGATTTACATTGAGCTCTCTGGATTTTATCCTCCTTAGGTTTACCCATACGGTTTACCTAGTTTTTCATAAACTATATATATATATATATATATATATATATATATATATATGAAAGTGAACACTGAAGTCAACATCCAGCGATGACAGTCTGTTTCATATTTATACGCAATCGTTAGGTCATATACGTTGTAATTTTGCTCGACTATCTATATGTAATGATGAATTGTAGGTAGTCTATTATATTGTTCGAACGGATATTTTGGTAGGAAGTAACTGCTATGGTTCAAATTATTCTAAGTGTTATGGTATGGTATAATTGTGGATCTGGATGTAGTTCTTTGTCTGTTTATATTATTGTTTGTTAATTTTTTATTTATTTTATTTTTGTTTATTTTATTGTTGGTTTGTATTATGTTTACTTCTTTTTATGTGTATGTCTGTAATTTATTCATTTGTTTATTAGTTGCCTAATTTAATAGTATATTTACTTATTTATTGGCTTGGAAATGTTTATTTTACTTATTTTTGATCATTTATTTTATATTATTTTCATGTATTTATTTTTGTTTATCTGCGTGTGTATTTCGAACTAGTTAAAAATGAATACATTATTTAACCATAATCTTTAAGCTTAAACATATTTTCTTTACTTCAAAAGTATAATGTTACAATTGTATAATGACAAGCTTGTTAAATTTTTCTGCATGCTTCCGATTTAATTCACACCTTGAATTTTCCCTTTTCCTGAAATAAGTGCATTCCATTTTACAATTATCGGTTAATTCTTTCTTGATTTACACACCTATTTTCTTGAATAATTCTGTTATCAACACAGTATCGTCGGCGTAGTGTACATTATTAGCTCTGTTTCAGCCAATTTTAAATTCTGGTGAATTCCCTCCGTATTTTGAGAATCAGCTTTTGTTATACAGGTTATTTGAATTCGTTTGGAAAACATCTACTTGTTGTCCCCCTCTTTTAATTTCTTTATTTAAGAAACCAAATTTCAGTTACTAACGATGGTTTTCTGTTGAATGTTATGGACACTCGAATGATAATCACTACACATTAAGTAGTTAGATTCTTCAGTAGACTTTCTATCTATCTATCTATCTATCTATCTATCTATCTATCTATCTATCAATTTTACTATTGTTCACACAATACAAATTTCAAGAGCCATTTACTGTAGAGGCTTACTGAACGAACTTGTTGTATGGCCGTAAGATGAAGAGGTAAGAAATCCTGGCTTCCCATTGTTTGTATTGTTTGTTGCTTGCAGTGCGCTTTTGCGTTGTCGTGATATAAAAGAAGTTCTCCACTCACTCATTGTTCTTCCGTTGTGCTGTTCACAATAACTAACCCCATTTATCGTCTTTAACTTTGGTAGAAGTTCCTTGCAAATGTCGTCTTTATGGCGGCGTTATATTTAACTCAGACGTAAGTAATGAATAATTTTACTCAATGCCATCGCTCAGAAAGTGAAACTATGTTTGGACATTTCACACCACAGGAAACATGTTCAAATCTCTTTCTGTCTCCATTACTAGCGACGACACGCTAGAAAAGACCTTAAAATCACCACTGGCAATATGATTACATTCATGGCTATCCCTATGGACATTTTGAACAGGTCAACTGTTGCTAGAGTAACCATTGGTAACGTCTAATTAATTCTGCAATAGAGATCGAATATATGTTAACAAGGTGGAAACTCAGGTGAAATTATCAAGCGACTTCGAATGATGTTTTGCGTGATAGAGTTATGTTGTTCTCTTGAAATGTAATATAAAACTCAGAAAATAAAGACTTTTCTTATAATGTATCATGTTAATATTTCGCCATACTGGAAAACTGCGAGTAAAACAATGACGAAACAAAGTGTGACTAAATCTGACACCGCTTTCTTAAAATGTGATTGGTTCCTATAAATACTTACAAGGGAATTAACTCTGTATTTATTAATACAGCTCATATCTTATCTCAAGATATGATAATAATACTGTTGATTATAGACACATCAAAATATTTATATAATTGATGCCATTGACATATGGCGTATGAACAATCGCTGTCGGAGAATAGCCTTATGCTTCTAGAATTGTCATTTTCTGGTCATTATTACAGTTCTATTCACTGTTTGATGGGTTTGTTTATAAAGTGATTACTTGTTACAATACTTCCAGCTTCTGCGTGTGGCATGATTGAAAGGGTCTGCTCTACAGTGTCTGGCACAGTTGATTCTTCATAAACTTCATCGGATATGAATACCTAATCTTTTGTTGTCATTCTCTCTTGTTGGTTGTATGTTTCGTCTATTTCTTCGATGTCTGACCTGATGCGATTGTGACAATTCAAGATCTTGATTTGTAGCATTTATTAGTGACGATGGCGGGTACCGAAGTTTTGTCATCTAATTGTACTTGTATGTGATCAACTGGCCTCAAAAGAGCGAGTTTTTTCTCATATGTCAGTTGTCATATTTCTGCTGTTGTTCTTGACGTTCAGTCTGTTTTTTCCGAATTACAGATACATTTACTCTATATGGATCGAGTAAAAGATGCAGTATTGTAATTAGACAACGGAATATGAGAAGCTGCAAAGCAGATTTTCCAACTTTATTTATTGAGGTATTTCCTTGTTCTAGCGATAGGTTTACAGCGTTTACCTCTGATCTTTTTAATGATCCAAACTCCTCACATGCATTTTTCCTGGATTGAAATGTCAGATATCTTAACTTGTTTTTGACAGATCATTTCCGTTTCATTTGACCTTCGTGTATTGACTGTAACTCTTCAGTTAGACTTTGGTTGTCTGCAGCAGACTCATGTAAAATGCACACAGTAAATTCTCGTCTACTACGCTGTCTTGTGTTCAGCTTGAATTTCATTTACTACTATATTTTAGTTCCAGTAAGATGTCACTGCATTTGGGTCTAGCATGATGCCATATAAAAATAAGGAGAAGGAGTTATCTCTTTCCCTGGCCCTTATTTTTAATGAACTTCGAGGTTTACAGTGGCACATACTAGCAAAACGAGTGGATTTATAGTATTTTCTACATGTCTTTCCGTATTGAGTACTTTTTTCCATATTTACCACGAGAAATATGATATTTAGGGTTGGTGTTCTGATATTGGATCATTGCGATTTTCAATTTCCCCGTTTTTTATTTTTTATTTTTCACTCTTGCTTTCTATATTATTGCTGAAATTTATATTTCTTCTCTGATATTTTGAACTTGGATCACGCCAGTTTCAATTGCTCAGCCTTTGTCTGTTTTTTAATGTTAAGTCCGAGTCACGAAGTAGTAATTCACGAGTGTCTTTGTTTAAGATGTCACATACAATCCTGCTTCTGAATAAGACGTCACTGAGCTCACCACATTCGCAGTCTTTAGCCTTCAGTTATATATCTGTTAGAACTGAATCAAATTTTACTGAAGGTAAATGGCTTCTGCTGAAAAATAAATATCTGACGTATATTATATTTTTTCTCAGTCGACAGTATTCTCAGAATTTAAATTTCACATATTTCAATTTTTTCTTGTCAGGGTTTTCAAATTCGAATTCGTTGAAAATTTGGTGGGCTTGTGACCCAGCCACGTATCGGAATGTGGCAACCTATATTCATTCATTAAGATATGTTAGTCCAACAACGAGCGAATAAAATAATATTTTTGTTCCCAAACATTCTAAATTTTTTACTGACGTTTCTTCGAAGGTGAGGTGCTTTTGCTCATTTTCTTTTCATTGTGAAGTTATTTTAGGATATCCACGCGCATGTTCGTTCTTAATGTCATCATCAATTTCAAGCAAGAGAATGCTCAATTTTTTTTTCCTTTTTTGCTTTCAGGTCAAGTTGTTGCATTCCACTTTCTCTTTCTTGTGTGGGCTGAGGGCGGGTTACGTTATTTTGACACCATGTTATATTGCACCGTGCTAGACAATTGTGTTTAAAAGTGAATTTCATCACAAAAACTATTCCGTAATGATGTGTAACAACTTCTGCCGTAATTAACTCTGATTCCTAATAGCCGCAAACATTACGCTTTATTGGAATAGGATTGGTCTCTATGAATAGTTACAAGGGAATTAACTCTATTCATTGTTAGAGAAGGAAGAAAGAAAGGTGAAGGCACTGATGGACACTGATAAAGAAATAGGTGACAATAATAAAAATGAAAGATTTATTTTAATTTGCAGCAAACTGAAATGAAGACGAGTACAAGATGAAGGAAATTAATAATCTTAACACTACTACAAAAGTCATGTTGTCGACATACACGCCATATTTATATTTAATACACGGTAATTACCTATACGATAAGGTTGGTATTAATTATTGGTCCGTCGTAATGTTTTGGTGTTAAATTTGCAACACGATACGATAAGTAAAATACCAGTAAATCCTTTTACACTCAAGTACTTCAAATTGTGTAGACTTGTATATATAATAGTCTTAGTCTGTTAGTAAAGATGAAATTAAGATACAGTGTAGTTCTTAGTAATAATAGATGATATATTTTATTATAAATTTACATGCAGTGTTTCTTGAAAAGATCATTAGCAATTGTTTTTACATGCTTTTCCTAACAGTTCGAGGCTTACCTTTTTCCCTGACTACTGAATTTCATTGCATTTTTGTAGTGAAACCTTTGGCAATGCACGATATCTATATAATAATCGTCTTCTGTCTAAACTTGCATTAATTCTGAACAATTTACAATCAATTTCGTCTTGATTTCCATGTATTTCTAGAGTGAAACCATGAGAAATACATTTATATGCAATAACTATAATTTATTTATATATAATAACTATACTCTATTAATTTGTATGTAATAACTATACTCTATATATAATAACTATACTCTATTAATATTGGACTCATTTTGTTCTGGTTACTGATATTTTAGTAGTAAAATCATTAACACTGAATACTTCTTTAATAAAATCAGGTATCAAATTTATACATCTCGACATTAAAGTGGAAAGAGGCACTGAAGCTTCATGGAATTGTCAAAGGATGTAATACTTCAGATATTACAATAATACCAACAGGAACAGAAGGAACAGAAGGTGGCATTTTTCAAGACTGAGAAACCTGTTGAGCATCAGCTGTTGGATATTTTAATCAAAGAGCATTGGACTAAAATGAGAAAACATCGAAATCCATTTCCATGGCGTAAAAGAAATAGATCCAGAGTGACTATTTGCTAATAAAGACATTATATATTTGATTTCCTTCTATCAGCCTTAAATTTTTATAATCAATCTGGTCGCGCTCTCAGTACGTTACAAATGTCTTGCTTTTGGGTCATGCTTAGTAAAGCTCGTCTTGAATATATTTAACTTTATTTTAGATTAAGAGATAAGAACACAAAATATCAAGCGATTGAACTTATACGATGCTTCACATCGGAGAGAAATTATCCATAATTTATATATACATGTAGTAACCGAGGAACAATTTACCTTCACTGCTGAATTTAATTTTTACTTTATTCAGACACACAAACACACACACAATATATATATATATATATGTATATATATATATATATATATATATATATATATATAGAGATATAGATATAGATAAATATAGATATAGATAGGCGATATTGCATATGAATAACATCAATTAGTGTTCGAAATGTTACAGTTTACCACACACACACACACACACACATATATATATGAAGAAATATAGTTTTAAGGTGTGCTATATTTATGGGATGAAGTGGTCAAAATCAGAGACTGAGCGTATGTAAATATAAATATAAAATAAACACTGAAGTCAATACTCAGAGGCGACCGGATGTTTCATGCTAGACGCAGTCGTCAGGCCGCGAATTACGAATAGACGATTGCGTCTAGCATGAAACAGCCAGTCGCCTATAAAGTGTTGACTTTAATGTTCACTTTATATATATATATATATATATATATATATATATATATATATATATATATATGTGTGTGTGTGTGTGTGTGTGTATAATAGTAAGCACATTTAAATTTTCGAACTTTTACTTGCAGGTGATTTCATGTAACCTGTATAAATTATCATATAATTATCATTTGTACGATGAGACAACGGTTTTATGAATTCTTTTTACATCATTAATCTGGTTACTGTGACTCGAAAGA